GTGCTGGGCCCCCCAGCAGGCCTCGAAAATGGCGGCAGTTTCGCAGATCGCAGCCCCCCAGGGATGGCGAGGTCTAATTTGAATCCGCGCGTGGCCCTCACTGTGCTGGGCCCCCCAGCAGGCCACGAAAATGGCGACAGTTTCGCAGATCGCAGCCCCCCAGGAATAACGAGGTCTAATTTGGGTCTGCCCGTGGCGTCACTATGCTAGGCCCGCCAAGCAGGCCTCGAATGTGGCAACAGTTTCACAGATCGCAGCCCCCCCCAGCGATGGCGAGATCTAACTTGAATCTGCCCGTGGCCCTCACTGTGCTGGGCCCCCCAGCAGGCCTCGAAAGTGGCGACAGTTTCACAGATCGCAGCCCCCCAGGGATGGCGAGTCTAATTTGAATCCGCGCGTGGCCCTCACTGTGCTGGGCCCCCCAGCAGGCCTCGAAAATGGCGACAGTTTCACAGATCGCAGCCCCCCAGGGATGGCGAGGTCTAATTTGAATCCGCGCGTGGCCCTCACTGTGCTGGGCCCCCCAGCAGGCCTCGAAAGTGGCGACAGTTTCGCAGATCGCAGCCCCCCAGGGATGGCGAGGTCTAATTTGAATCCGCCGTGGCCCTCACTGTGCTGGGCCCCCCAGCAGGCCTCGAAAATGGCGACAGTTTCGCAGATCGCAGCCCCCCAGGGATGGCGAGGTCTAATTTGAATCCGCCCGTGGCCCTCACTGTGCTGGGCCCCCCAGCAGGCCTCGAAAATGGCGACAGTTTCGCAGATCGCAGCCCCCCAGGGATGGCGAGGTCTAATTTGAATCTGCGCGTGGCCCTCACTGTGCTGGGCCCCCCAGCAGGCCTCGAAAGTGGCGACAGTTTCACAGATCGCAGCCCCCCAGGGATGGCGAGGTCTAATTTGGGTCCGCCCGTGGCCCTCACTGTGCTGGGCCCCCCAGCAGGCCTCGAAAATGGCGACAGTTTCGCAGATCGCAGCCCCCCAGGGATGGCGAGGTCTAATTTGGGTCCGCCCGTGGCCCTCACTGTGCTGGGGCCCCCAGCAGGCCTCGAAAGTGGCGACAGTTTCACAGATCGCAGCCCCCCGCAGGCAAGACAGGAAGAGGCGGGAGGCGGGAGGCGGGAGAAGGGACGCGACCACACTGCTCTATTCAAAACGAATACCCAACCAAGGAGAGTTGGGGGGGGGGAAACAAAAAAAAAAAAAAAACTACCCCCTTACCCCCAAGCCTTATCAATTCCCCTTCGCGTATTGCAAGCTACATGGGATTATGCCTCATCATCTCAGCTAAACCGGTACCCCCCCCATCATTTACAGAAAGAGCTATGCGCACACCCGTTTATCAAGACTCATCAGTTTCCAAGAACACCTAGAAACAAACAAAAAAATGACGAAGTGCACACGCTCGCGTCGTCGCGCGGGCATACCACAATCAGTCAAACACCTGAGGTCTCGTAAGGATTTCAAAATGGTGCGTCCCGATAACATGTAAACAAAAAATTGATTCGCAACAAGCATTCCCCCTCAAAAAAAACAGCCAAACCAAACAAATGCGCTCGCGGTCTTGCAGATTCTTGGGAAAACGAAAATTACTTCAACCCTTTTTCCAAAACATGCTCCATAACACGATACCAAGCACAGACCTTTCGCGCGCGCACGCAAGCATCGCCCGAAAGCCCCTGCGCGCGCGCTGTTGCAAAAAAATATCGCCAACAACGGGGCGACGTGCGCAAACGCGCGCCGTCGCGCGCGCATGCAAGTTCCGTGTTTTGTTTTTTGTTGTTTTTCCTGTATATATATATATATATATATATATACAAATACTTCCCCCCCCCCCCCCCCCCCCCCCCCCCCCCCCCCAAAAAAAAAAAAAAACGCTGGTTTCGCAGAGGGGTCGAAATCGAAGGCCCCGAAAACCATTTAAAAAAACGCACGGGATGGCAACATCAGATTGCGAAAATGCCTGCGTTCGCGCTCCTGCGAACTCTTGTTTAATATATATATATATATATATAATGGGGTTCATCAATGCGTTCATAAAACTTTGTCAAGCGGGCCTCTCGCGCCGCATGCCGAAATCATTCGAACGCCCTTGCGCGCGCGCCGGGGGGGGGGCACGATCCGCGTCAACTAAAAGCATGCGGGCCACTCTCGCGGGTTGGCCGCGCGCGCATGTCGAAGTCATTCCAAACATTCATCACCGACGCGACGACGCCGTCACCGTCGTCGGCGTGATCAGCATCGGCACCTTCACGGGCCTTGTCGTCTTCACTCTCACCATCGACACCACCATCGCCACTACCATCATCGAGTCTACCGTCGTCGACGTTGCCATGATACCACGCGCGCCCAAGTCGCCGACTGGCATGGAAGTGCCCGCTGGGAAGTGCCCAGCTGTCAGCGCCACCGTTGCCGCGTCGGTCGCGCCAAACTCGTTGGCCGCTTCGCGCGCGAGCATGCGCGCTAGCACGGCCGCGGCGATGCGCCAACCAGCGCCGAGCAGTCATCGCAATCGCCGCCGCATGGGTTGTGCAAACCAAGTTGCGGGCGGGTGGGTGGGATGATTGCGCGAGCAGAGGAGTTGACAACTTCAAGTTCGGCAGGGCGAGTTGCACCACATAGACTGCACCACCTCGATTGCACCACAAATATTGCACCGCATATATTGCACGGTGTAGTTTGCACGACGTAGATCGCACGACAAAGATTGCACAACATATGTTGCAACACACAACATAAGTTGCACGACACGCGTTGCACAACATAGATCGCACCACATGTACTGCACCACATATGTTCTCCGTTCTGGTTCTTATCGCCCCCACCCCCCACCCCCAGGGTTAACAGTACGCCTTTTTTTTGGTATGGGCATTCACGTATGATTCTGCCCCGCCGTCCATCCTAAATATGAAGTCACACCATCCCAGCCAGGCTGGAATTCGCACCTTCCTCCCTCATCCTCTGCAAAACAAATATGTACGCACATTCGTTTATCAGAACTCTTGCCTTGTCAAACAGCCTTGCAATCTATAGACGAAAAGCACACGCGCGCGTCGTTGCGCGCGCATGCCGAAATCTCTCAAAAAAAAAAAAAAAAAAAAAAAAAAACGGCTTCGTAATTTTGAAAACCTTTTTAAAAAAGAAAAATGATTTTGCAACACACATTTCTCCCTGCAAAAACAAAACACACGCACACACACACACACACACAATCCGCGCCAGCGTTCTTGCAAATTCCCCACAAAACTACTACCGACCGGGCCTCTCGGGCGCGCATATCACAATCGTTCGAACGCCCTTGCACGAGTGCTGTCGCAAGAATCCTTTTGCAAGAAACAGACGAAATGCACGCGCGCGCGTCGTCGCGCGCGCGTGCCGAAATCCTTCAAAAACTGGGCAAGAAGTTCAAAAACGAATACCCCGAACAGGAAAATTGTTCAACATTAGTTTTCAAACATGCCTGCGCTCGCGGTTCTGCGGATCCTTAAGGAAACCATCGGTTGTGTTCAAGATATTTATCGAATTCTGCCAAGGGGGCCTCTCGCGCCGCATGTCGAGCTCATTCGAACGCCCTTGCACGCGTGCTGGGGGGGGGCACGATCCATGTCAGATAATACCACGCGGGACACTTGCGCGCGTCGGCCGCGCGCGCATGTCTAACTCCTTGAAAAACCTTCATCGCCGACGCGGGGACATCGTGATCGTTACCGGCCAATGCGATCAACATCGGCGCCGTCATTGGGGTTGCCGTCGTCATCGCCACCATCGTCACCACCATCGCTACCATCATGATCGTGTCCACCGTTGTCGGCGTCGCCACGATACTGCGCCCGCCCAAGTCACCGACTCGCTCTGAAGTGCCCGCTGGGAAGTGCCCTGGGAACTAACTGGCCGCTGTGCGCGCGAGCATGCGCGGGCTAGCGCGGCCGCAGAGATGCACCAGCCAACGCCAAGCACTCATCGTAATCGCCGCCGCATGGGTTTTGCAAACCAGGTTGAGGGTGGGTGGGTGGGATGTTTGCACGAGTACGGCATGTGTCAACTCGTTTGTAAAAAAAATGCACCACGTAGATTGCACCACCATGCGCGAGCAGTGGAGTGGACAACTCACTCCGAACAGAAATTAACTCCACCACATAAATTGCACCACATGGGTTGCAAAACCTACATCGCACAACATAGATCGCATGATATGGATTGCACAACCTAGCTTGCACAACATGGATTGCACAATTACACCATGTAAATGTAGATATGTATACATATGCATGTGTGTGTTGCTCCACATCGATTGCACCACATAGCATGCTGGAACACACTGTTTGGGGTCCACGTTCCAACGTCCCCACACGACCCAAGAATCCCCAAGACGGATCAAGAGGCCCCAAGAGGGCCCCAAGACGGCCCACGAGGGCTCCAAGACGGCCAAAAAGGCGCCCACGACTGCCCAAGAGGGCCTCAAGACGGCCCCAAGAAGGGCCCAAGAGGGTGAACACGAACCGACAAGTCGAACCTTTCGCCCCAAGAGGGCTCAGGAGGCCCTGAAAGGGCCACAAGAAGCCCCCAAGAGGCCCCCAGGCGGGCACCGAGAGGCAAAAACAATTGATTGCCTGCCTAGAGCTTGTTGAATGTTTGTTTGGTCCTCGCCTTTTCAAGCTTCCGACACTCCACGACAGCCCACAAGGCCCCAAGACCCCCCCAGACGGCTCAAGAGGCCCCCAAAAAAGCTCCAAGACAGCCAAAGAGGGCTCCAAGACAACCCCAAGAGGCGCCCAAGACTGCCCAAGAGGGCCACAAGACGGCCCCAAGAAGGGCTCAAGAGTGGGAGCACGAACGAAGAATTCGAGCCTTCTGCCCCAAGAGGCTCCCATTGCAGGCCCCCTTGCCTTCTCGAATAGTTGCCACCCACCCAGAATGCATCTCTTCTCCCTCCTCCCTCAACCGACCCTTCTCCCTTCTCCCCCTTCTTCGACTGCTTGACTGTCCTCCCTCCCAGGAGGGAGCACAACATCGATCACAGTCTCGACTATGGCAGCTGACCATCCGTGCAAGACCGGATTCTCAACCGCCTGCTGGAAGGTGACGACCACGCTCAGAAGCACGAGCGCCTCCAAAAACTTGCCGGTCCACCAGGCCGCGTTGCCTGACGAAGGATCGTCTAAGACTGTCCAGACGTAGTCGACTACCTTGTTTCTGCTCTTCCGGAAGGTCTTCGGGAGCGCCTGTATTCGCTTATTCAGGACCTCGACGTCCTGGCTGGCGGACCTGCCGAACATCTTCCTGGCCAGGAGGCTGCCCCTGCTGCCCTTCGAGAGGGAAACGCTGTCCGCTCGCCCCTCTCCTGTTGAGCCGCTGTGAGCGCTCCTCGTGGACTGCAGATTGTCCGAGGCCCGAACTCATGCCCACACACACGACGAAGTGTTTTTGCCAGACCAAACGTGGCTTTCCGCAGTCTCGGCCTAGACTCAAGGGGCCCAAGGACACACAAATAAATACACACAAATAAAAGGATTCCCCATTTTCCCATATTTTCTGGGCTTCTGTCTTCCCCCCCACTTCCCATATTTTCCCCTATTTTCTGGGGAATCGAAGATTAATTGTGTCTGTGTGTTTTTTCCTCTCCTGAGTTTTCCGCAGTCTCGGCCTAGACAACTGAGAAAACAGACATCTGGGGCGCAGAACTACCCCTGGGGATGGGGCCGGGACATCTGGCACCGTCGATTCAACAAATCTCAGCGTTGGATGTCTGGGTGCGCATCCACCGCCTCTAGAGGCCTCCCAAATGGGGTCCGACGGGATGGGGTCGGAGGATCGCACCGCATCGCCGATGCATCTGCGACGTCGGCGGATGCATCGTCCACGCCTTCGTGGAGACAGTCGGGCTCCACATCGAGCTGCATCACCGATGCCTCGGGGGTGCGGCGTGGTCCACCGACCCCATCTACTCGGACCTCATTTGGGCAATTTCGGAAATCCTGAACCCAAAGACGGTTTCATCTCTTGGGAGGTCGAATTTTTACTTCCGCCGCCTTCCGCCGAGCTTCCGCCGGTTGAGGCGGCCTCTTTCACTTCCGCCGACCTTCCGCCGCCCTTCCGCCGCCTTCCGCCGCGGAAGAGATGACAACTCCTTCCATCCTCGATGGCAAGGCCCTTCCTGGAACGCCCCATTTGGGAAGCCTGCTTAGATCCCGGTGGCCCGATGCCCCAGGACCCCAGGAGGCAGCGGAGGCGGGCAATACTGGATGCCGACCAAATGACTGCTCGGGGAGGCGTCACGCGGCAGCGCCCAGAGGCGATGATTGATGTCAGTTGGCTCGGGGCCCGCTCGCGGGCGTCGTCGTCGTCGTCGTCGTCGTCGTCGTCGTCGTCGTCGTCGTCGTCGTCGTCGTCGTCGGTGAGAGCAGTCGGGCGCCCTCTCCCCAGAACCTCCCCAGGCGGCAGGACACTGCGTCTGCTGCATCGTGCCCCACCGCTCCCCAAGCGGTGCCTGCACTTGGGGGGGGGGCTCTTGCTCGCGCGCCCAGGGAGTCCCCGACCCGCCGCGCTCTGGCTCGCTGCTGCCCCGGTGCCGCCCGATGCCGCCTGGGAGGAGGGAGGGGGGGTTGGGCACACTTTGGCCCCCTTGGGCCCCCCTGGGCCCTCTTGGGCCCCCTTGGGCCCCCTTGGGCGAGGAGGAGAAGAAGGAGGAGGAGGAGAAGGAGGCAGGAGGAGGAGGAGGAGGAGGAAGAGGAGGAGGAAGAGGAGGAGGAGGACCAGGGATCTGCCGCGCTCGGGCCCGCTGCTGCCCGCTGCCGCCCGTGGGGGCCAGGGATCTGCCGCGCTCGGGCCCGCTGCTGCCCGCTGCCGCCCGTGGGGGGTGCCCCGAGGAGGCGCTGCGGGCGCCAGAGCACGGCGCAACTCTGCCTGGGGCCCACGCTGGCTCACGTGCTCTTCTCTCCTCGTGGGCACCGACCTCTGCGCCGCGCTCGAGCCCCCCCCCCCGGGGGGGGGGAGGGCCGGGCACGACCTCCACGCTCTCCGCCGCCCGCGGCGCGGGGCCAGGCCGGCCCCGCCCGTGGCGGGGCCCCCTCCCGGAAGAAGAAGGGAGACGGAGGAGGAGGCGGAGGAGGAGGAGGGGGAGGAGGAGGAGGAGGAGGAGGAGGAGGAGGAGGAGGAGGAGGACGACGACGACGACGACGACGAAGGGGGGGAGGAGGATCGAGCAGGAGGATGGAAGAGCAACACACTCAAGCCTAGAGGGAGGAGTGGGGAAGGGCAAAGAGACGAAGACGCTACAGGTGGGGGTACGGACTGTCGGGCCCCAGGAGGGCCCCTGTTCGAGCGGGGACCCCCATCCGACAACACACCCCCATAGCCCCCACGAATCCCACCCCGAGAAATCTAGGGGTCGCCCTGATGCGGGTGGTATTTGTCAGCTCGTAAGAGGAGGAGGAGGAGGAGGAGGAGGAGGAGCAGGAGCAGGAGCAGGAGCAGGAGCAGGAGCAGGAGCAGGAGGACGAAAAGGAGCAGGAGCAGGAGGAGGAGGAGGAGGAGGAGGTCCGCACAAATTTCTTGGATCGGCGCTTGAAACCCCTCCACACTGTAGGGGCGGCGCCTGATGCGCCGCCAGGGCGGCAGGAAAGCGGGGCCCAACGACGACCCAAGAAATCCGCGTGGACCTTCAAAATTTGTTTGCGCCGTTTCTCGTCTTCTTCTGCTCCTTCTTATTATTAGTAATATTAATATGATTATCATTATTCGTAGTGTTGTTATTACTCGTCTTCTTATTCTTGTCATTAGTACTAATGCTGGCATTCTTAATATTATTCATCATCTTCTTACTCTTCGCCCTTGCCTCGTGGGGTCCATGGGGTCCGTGGGGCGTCGCTCTCCGGGGGGGGGTGGCGTGCACAGGCTCCGGCCTCGGAAGCTTGGCGGTTCTCACGAAGAGCGCCGACGCCGAGCCGCCCGAGGCGTGCCTCGTGGCGCTCAGGTTCGGGATGAAGGATCCGCGGTCGGGTCCGCCCCTCTGCGACGACAGCCGGGGCCGCGAGGTGGTGTGCACCGGCCCGAGCGCCAGGCTGAGGTCGGCGTCCATCGCCGTCGAGGACCGGGCAGCGCCAGGAGGGGGGGGTCACCGCCGGCGTGAGCCGCCTCCCCGAGGAGGAGGAGGAGGAGGAGGAGGAGGAGGAGGAGGAGGAGGAGGAGGAGGAGGAGGAGGGTCCCTCGCAGGAGCCCCAAAGGCTCCCAGGCAGCGCCAAAGGGTCGCCCGAGGGCGCGAGCGGAGAGCTCCCCGAGCTGCGAGGCTCCAGCCCCGACTCTCGGGAGGGGCTGGCGACCCCGCGGACCCCCTCCGAGGGTCCAGGCGCCTCAAGACTCCGAGCTGCGTCCAGCCGTGGCGGCAAAGGGGCCTCCGAGGGCCAAGTACACCTGTCTCGACTTCCCCCCTCGCAGAGGAGCAAAAAAACAAAAAACAAAAAAAATGGAAAACAAAAAACAACAAAACTAACAACAACAAAAAACGGTGTGAACATGACTTCGCAGCGGTCCGCGCGGAGTTCCTGGATCGGCGCTGGACCCCCCTCCCTGGCGCCTGGAACGCCCCAGGGCCTGCGCCAGAGGCGCCGCCGCGCCGCCAGGGGGCCCCAACGCCGATCCAAGAAATCCGCGCAGACCTCTGATAGATGATGCTTACGGCGGGGGCGTTCGTTCAGGAATGTGCCCAGGAGGCTTCAGACCCTGGAGGATTCCTTCTCTGATGAGGGCAGCAGTGATAACCATGGCCAGGTCTCAAGTGGAGGTCCACCGGTTTCCAGACCCTGGATTCCTGACCCAATGCTTCCTCATCCATTGCGCTCACCGTATGCCACCTCTTGTCCTTCGATGGTGACCCCGCCCCTGGCGCTGCTCAGGAGGACTGGCGGAGGGCCGGCGCGTTCATCACGAGCGCGCCCGGCAGGGGGCCAGCGGGCGCCGGCGCGTTGACCACCATCGGTGGGGGCTTGACGCCGAACTTGTTGCCGCCCACACTGGAGCATCGTTCCGACGATCTCCGTCTCGAGTGCGATCTGGAAAAAAAAAAACATGTGCGATGATCAGAGTGAGGGGGCCGAGCGGTCATGCACTGTCCCTAGGCGCGTGGCTGAAGTGGGGCGCCGCGGTGCGGATTGTGGCTGCGCTGTTGCGTCGTGGCGTGGGATCCTCGTCTCGGAGAAAGAATTATTCTTGATACCCCCTGCCCGAAGCCCATTATGCTTTTTCAGTTGAACGGATCCTCCCGGGGCTCACGCCCTCCCGTCCGTCAGGGTCCCCCCGCCCGACCCGCCCGCCTCGCTCTGCCGCTTGTACTCCGGCTCCTGGCCCCTTCCTGCTGATCTCTCTCGTGTTCCATACTTCCCCTCCCCCTCGTCTCTTCCCTCCTCCCTCCGTTCCCCTGTTGCAAGGGACTGTGCCAACTACACGTGGCAGTTGCGGAAGATAGGCCCCCTAAGGGGGTACGATCAAAGAAGAAGAAGAGGATGCGTATCGAGGGCTTGGGTTACACATGTTAAATGACACGCGAGCCTATGAAAGCGAACAGTCTTAAAATGATTGATGCCGTTGTCGTCGTCGTCGTCGTCGTCGTCGTCGTCGTCGTCGTCGTCGTCGTCGTCGTCGTCGTCGTCGTCGTCGTCGTCGCTGTCGTCGTCGTCTTCGCCTGCGATCCGCTCGTGACCTACCCGCGACCCACCCACCGACCCACCCCGCGACCCACTCGCAACCCACCCGCGACCCACCCCGCACCCGCCCCCTGATTCCTATCCGCAACTGCGAGGTGGGACGTACCAAAAAAACAACTGTTTTCATGGCACCTGAAACGGGTCATCTACCGCACTCGAGCCGAGCTTTGCTTGATTATATCACATCGTTTCGCGGTTGATTTATCGCGCTTGAGCCGAGTTGCTTATCGCACCTGCGCCGAGTATGGCCTTGGACCCACTAGCCCATTTCCCCCCCTGGATAAGAACATGTGACGTTCCCTTCGGGTTCCGCAGGGCCCAACCATCCCCAACTAGGGGGGTGGACCGGTGGGGACTGGGATCGTTGAAACAATGCCGATTCCTGCCGCCGCAGAGGGCGGACGCGGTGTTCGTGGCCTCGAGGCGGGCGACGAGCCAGTCGAGCTTCCCGTCCATCCTTGGATGAACAAAACAACGGCATGAGCATAAATCCGCGCGGACTGCTAGGATTGGCGCTGGGCCCCCCTCCAGGGGGAGCCAGCGCCCATCCCAGAAATCTGCGCGCGGAGCTCCGAAAG